TGGCCTGGAGAGCCGCCGCCTCCTCCTTCCCCTGTCCTGGCCGAAACTCCCCTGTCCTGGCCAAAACTGTCCTGGCCTTCTCCTTAGAGGTGCAGTCATAACCTTTACCTATTTACTCTTGCTTGATATGAAGCATTTGGTTGTGGTTGTTGCAGTGTGCCTTCAACTCATTTTTGACTTATGGTGACCCTAAAGTGACCCCATCATGTGGTTTTCTGGGGCTGAGAGTGTGTTACTTGCCCAAGGTCACCCAATGGTTTTCCCTGGCCAAGAGGGGAATTGAACCCTGATCTCCAGATTCATAGTCCAATGCCCAAACCACTAATCTACACTGACTTTAGTTGTGCCTCATCCCCACTACTATGTGTCAAAGAAGGAGAAAATAGGTGGCTGAGAAGAGAAGGCTGCAACACTTCCATTGTCCATCCCTCTATATTGCTGTGCTTGGGAAAAGTAAAACAGATGAGTAGGCAGCACCCACTGTGCCTCACCTAGAACCCAATCCTCCACAGTGTCCAAGATAAGTAACAAAGAGGACGCCACAGCCTCTTCTTTGAATATTTCTCTGGTAAGAGATCTCAGGGAACCTGGCAGGGTAACAGGATGGATGGATCTTGTTAGCACACCCAACACCCTCATATTGTATGTGGGGATCTTTACATTTTCCCATTTTCATATCTAGAGGTAGGCATTTTTTAAGAAGTCACAATGACCTTTGAGACAAAGGGAAGTTTCCCATGGGAAAAGAACATTGAGCTGAAGACAGATGAAAGATTTAGGCAATATCAAAAGGAAAGTTAAATGGGTTTGTTGATCATTCCATCCTGTCCTGGGCTTTATGCATATTCTCTTGAACTGGAGATAAAGATGGTTGCACTAAGAATAGTAAGACAGTATCTCCTACCTATTCCCTGCCTTGTTCCCAACCACTTTATCTCTCCATTCACACTGGGGTTGTCCTAAATCAAATGAATGTTTCTATTACTCTTAAGTTAAACCCATCAGTTGTTCTGGAATCCCATTGTCAATTCCTTGTGACAACCATCAGGTCTTTATTACACTACAAGATAGCATCTACCCTTTGAGGCTGGGAAATCAGATATAAATATCAGCCCCAGCTATAGCCTCTTATAAGCACAGAGGGTCTCTTTCATTCAATGTGTTGCCCTCAAATGCTTCTGAGCCACACCCCACTTTTTGTGGATTCCTCTGGTAAATATCACCCTCTCTACAACCCTTAGCCTCCACTATACAATTTCCTTACCTTTATTTCAGCTAGCTTTGTATGGTGTTTTAAGACTAAATTGTTACTGTGTGTTTCTGTGCTTTCTTGCCTGTTTTTAAATAAAACCCTTACTCACTAAATGTGGAGTCCTACTGCATTTAGTACTGGTTTACATAGGTGAAAATGATCCTCAGAGTTACCCAGCCTCTCACAGGCTTCTTACTGAGCTAATAAATTCCCTCCAATATGCTATCACTGTTGGTGGGGACCCCAGGTCCTCATCTTTTGGGATAATGTTCTGGAATGCATGGGAGAGTTTCCTTGTTCTTTTCTAACCTTGCTGCATAGAGAGGAAAGGAAAAGCTTTGCTCTTTAGTGGTTCCTTGCCAATCAGCTACTATTCTTTCTAAATAAAAAGGATTGCTATCTACACTTTTGCTTTTCCAAATGTGTGTTTCATATCATGCACAGCTAGGCAGATGGTATCAAGAGATCTACACCAATTAGGTCACCTCCTGGACTCCTCTGGCTAGGCACAGCTGAGAAAATATAGATTGTGTGATTTCAGGCATGCAATCTTGACCAAGCATTGCAACAGCATAATAGACTAGTTCCCAGGCCTAAAAATGCCAATCTACTTTGCACTGAAGTTCAAAGGCAAACTGAAGAATGTGGACTGTTGTCTGAGTCTGCACCCTTCATTCCTTATCTTCCAGGGGATTTGGGACTCTCTGGAAAGGTGATCTATGTTTTCCTGGGAGCAAGGTGAACTGATGTTCTCACCGCAAAGGTGCTGCAAAATGTAGGACCTTCAAGAAAAATGTAGGGACATGTCCAAATCAAAGGCCAAAACACTCATTGAAATAAAAATGCATGTTTCTTAGTCCTGCTCCAAATGGAGAACATGTTGGAATTCTTCCTGGACAGAAGGCTGAAATGAAGGAAAAGGAGGACGTCTGGTCATCTCGCCCAGTAGGTTTCTCTTCCCTGGGTTGATTTTCAACACACACCATCCCAAGAAGAGGCAGAAGGAAGGAAGGAAAGAAGCAATGACGGAAGGAAAGAAAGAAGGCTTCTCTTCCCTGGACTGATTTTTCAGGGGAGGGGGGAGGCAGGCAGGCAGGCTTCTCTTCCCTGCATTCATTTTCAATGCAAAACATCCCAGGAAGAGGAAGAATGAAAGAAGAAAGGAAAGAAAAAGGAAAAAAGGAAGGCAGGAAAGGGAAGGGAAGGAACATCCCTGGAAGAGGAAGAAAAAAAAAAGAAAGAAAGAAAGAAAGAAAGAAAGAAAGAAAGAAAGAAAGAAAGAAAGAAAGAAAGAAAGAAAGGCCTCTTTTCCCTGCATTGATTTTCAATGCACAACATCCCAAGAAGAGGAAGAAGGAAAGAAAAAAGGAAAGAAGAGAAAAGGAAGGAAGGAAGGCTTCTTTTCCCTGGATTAATTTTCAACACACAACGTCTCAGGAAAAGGAAGAAGGCAGGCAGGCAGGCAGGCTTCTCTTCCCTGGACTGATTTTCCAGACACAACATCCCAGGAAGAGGAAGGAAGGAACGAAGGAACGAAGGCTTCTCTTCCCTGGTTTAATTTTCAACACACAACATCCCAGGAAGAGGAAGAGAAGGCAGGAAAGAAGGAAGGAAGGCTTCTCTTCCTTGGATTGATTTTCAACACACAACATCCCAGGAAGAGGAAGGAAGGAAGGAAGGAAGGAAGGAAG